GACACTGTAGTCCACAGCACACATGGGCCCTTGGCAACTCCATCAAAGCACCCCTATTTGCACCATGGAAAATGTGCCCCAAAACTCACACAAAGCATATGACTGGCACCAAGTATGGTGGCCCCTGCTGGTAGTCCCAGCTACTTAGGAAGCTGAAGCAGGAGGATCACTTCAGCCCAGGAGCTGGAGGCCAGCCTGGGCACCACAGCAATACCTATCTCAAAAACAGAACAAAACAAAAACAGGAGACTGATAAAACAGACAACTTAGTTGCAAAGCCCAGAAAATTAATAGGCTTATACTGTCCAATAGGACTGTCAATTTGGAAAATGGCCAACTCTACACCCCAAAAATCCCATCCTAGAGTCAGCAAGCTCCAGAACCTATGAGTCACAGCGGCCTTGGGTGCTGAGATGACTGAAGGCCTTTGCACATAGGAATGGCTCCAAGCCCATTTTCTCACAATGTGGTAGGGTGAGGGTGGCCAGAGACTGGGGACGGGAGAGACACTGAGGGACTTCCAGGGGACTGGGCGTGGGGCAGAGCCCCACGGTCCAACTCCACCTTCCCTCGGGCCACGCTGGGAACACTGTGTCCCCCCTATGTAGGAGGACAGGGAGGAGGCAAGGGCAGGGGACAGAGAGGCAGCCGGGGAGGGGATGGGAGATGGGTCAGGCTAAACCCTCCTGTGGAGGACTACTGTCCTGACAGGGACCTGACTGGGGAGCAGACACCATAGAGCAGCAAAGCCGTGCTCAGGCTCACCCAGTCTGCAGGCTCCAAAGCAGGAGAGAATCACAAAACAAGAACCAAGCTCAGACTGGGGACACTCAGAGGCGGGACTCTCCCAAGGACCAGCCCCACCCCTCCAGCCCTCAGGGGCAGAGGAAGGAGGGACTGCAGCTCCCAGGGGGCGGGTACTTGGCTATGTGCTCCTGACCATCCCAGAAAGTCCCTACAGAGGTCTCCTAGATACCCAGATAAGCTCCACAGTCATGACTGCTGCAGCCCAAACATCAGCCCACACTAAAAGAATGACAAAGGAGCACAGGGGTCACGTGAACGGATTCCAAACATGTCCCAGCCCCAACATCTGGAGCTGCAGTTAAGGACAGGCAGGGTCTAGTCAAACATCATGGATTCTAGCCACCAGAGTGCAAGGTCCAGTCCAAGCTTCTCAGCCAGAGCAACTGAGAGGTCTGCCTGGGCTCTGATGCAGGCAGGGGGCTCTGCATACTGCACATTGCTCAATGCCGCTGGCCTGTGCCCAGCAGGGTGCACAGACTGCAGTCACTCGGGGATCAGCAAGCTGTGACCATGTGACACGATTGCCCCAAGGCCACCTCATGTCCTTTGGTCCCCCTCTTCATCATCCTGTCTCAGCCTGGCCCCACCCACTGGGGATATGAACCTTCCTCTCCCAATCCCAGCCTGGGCTTTCAGCCTGCATGTCCTGTTCAGCATCCTGTAGCCCTGTGGAGGAAAAGTGTGAGTCCATCTTGCAAATGACAGCCTGAGGGCCAACATGGGGACAGCATGAGCACAGAGCAGGGGTCTCCACAGAGGTCAGCTCAGTGGTCCCAGCCCTTCAGCCTTGCTGCTCACACCTGTCCCCTCTGCCTCCCAAACTCAACCCCCTGAGGCCTCTTCCACCAGGTGTTCATGGCCTGACTTCCTGTTTCCAATCCCTTGAACCACAGGGCAGGCCACATCTGTGAGCTTCATAAGTGGCCACATTTGAAGACAACCAGGACACTTGCCTCTCTGGAAAGTGGATCCAGGCTGCAGCCCCCATGCCTACCCAGAGCAGCATGTGGGTGCCCATCTTGAACTTCCTCATGGGCCATCCACACTGACACTGGCTGAGTGGATTTTTGATAATGCAGTGCCCGATCCAGCACACTGGGGAGAAGGCCAACCCCTAGCACCCACAAGGAGCTTGAGGCAGAAAAGTCAGGGGGCTGGCACCCCCATATTCAGGACTCACTCACTGCAAATGAGCCCTACCCAATACAGAAGGCCAGGAGAGACCAAGCAAAGAATCACCCCACAAAAACCACATTCAGCTCAGGTGATGGCAGCAAGGCCATCAACCTGTTGCTATGTCCACGAGGCTGCTGGGACATCGTCCCAGCCCATACTCCAGCCCTAGTATCATCCAATCCCTAATTCTACAGATGCAATTATGACTCTCTCCTTTGGGCTCAGGTTCAAGTTCAGACCTTCCACAGAAGCCTCTGGGAGAAATGTGCTAGCTCAGAGGTATGATAAACATCAGCCAGGCACCTATTCCCTGCCCTCGCCTGTGTCAGACCCAAACACAGGCTGAGAGGGGTAAAGCAAGCTGCAGGCCCTGTCACCCCCATGTCATCCCCTACATAGACCCCAGGTTAGGCAGGAAGCTTGCATGCTGGTCAGAAAGGCAGTGGTCTTGAAGCCACTTCCATCCACCCAGACTGTTCTGGATTCCCTAGTTCCCACTGGTCTCTAGAACCTGCTCACCTGCCTGGGATGTGAAGGGGTGTCTTCTAAAGGATGACCACCTGGACGGCAGGACAGAGCAGCTGCCCAGGGTGCAACCCAGCACTTACCTTGGCACCTTGACTGGGCCTGGTGGCCTCCCAGCCCCCCCTCACAGTCAGAGGGCTGGGTGTGGGGGGAAGCAGCCTCAGTCAACACAGCTGCCTCAGGCTGAGCTACCTCATGGTGTCTTCCGCAAAGGACACTGGGACCTGGCTCCGGCTGCAAGTGGTCATGGCTCTGGGGTTGCAGCCACAGAAGGAAGGCGTGGGTGATGTGGACAAGTGGAAGACAAGTAAGGACACTCGACCCCCAAGGTTCCTAAAGTGCAACCCTTGAGCCTCCCTGGCTTGGGGCACAACGGGTTCAGATGCAGTATGCAGAACAGCACCCCCAAAGACAGCAGGGAGGTCCACTGTAAGCCGTAGCTGGGAGCTGGCTCCAGACCAACAGCCCAGGGAGCAGGAGGCAGAGCTGCGTGGTGCCAAGGGAGCAGGTGTGAAAGGTGTGAGTGTGCACGTGTGCATAACCACCCAAGCACACAACACATGGCAGCGCTTCCTGAGTCCCCTAACGGAGCTGTTACCGAGGGCTGGATCGATGGTTTCGGGGGAGGAGGTGTAGTCACAGTTTAGCTTGACTCTTCAGAAAGGCACCTGTCAGGGGTAACAGCCAAGACTGAGGCTCAGGACCCTTGAGGATGGGGATGTGTGAGCAGCCACCCAGCAAACTGGTTCCAGACAGGGTGCTGATGTGGCACATGAAGGGCTCCAACCACCGTTCATTGGGGCCCCAGTGAGTCTCCCCTGTGCACCATAGCATGGATGTGGGCTCCTCCCTCTGAACTCGCTGACCTGGGTGTGAGCCCCAGCAGCCCCCACCAAGCACCTGCCCTGGACAAGCCACTCCACCTCTGAGTCTGCCTCCTTCCCTGTAGTTTGGGTTAAAAATAATTTCTATTCAGAAAAAAATCAGAGCAGTAGTCATTTAAAGGGGAGGGGCAGCGACTGAGAAGGGGGGGCACAATTTTCTGGAGCAATGGCTGTTCTGTGCCTTATGAGATGGGCTGGGGTGACAGGAAAGACTCTTTCCCCAGGTCCCCTGACACTCCCCCAGACGGTAACTTTGGGGACACCAAAGCTTCCTGGTGCCAGGAAACCAGAGGGCACCAACATCCCAGCCTGTAGAGCCTCAGCCCCTCAGGTTCCTTTAAAGGACCAGGAGCCAGGGTGCTCCTCGGTGGTAGAGCACTGGACTGGCATACACAGGGCCAGGCTTTGAGCCCCAGCACCAAAGTGGGGGACAGGTTATGAGTCTGGACCTGGCTTGCTGGACCCACAAGGCCTGTGGCCATCCTAAGGACCCTGAGGGCCACTGCACCTGGCTTCTGGGCACGCAGGGATTTATTTAGGGGCTGTGTCTGTGCCTGCCAGCAGGACAACCAGCAGCAAGGATAGAGGCTCTCCTAGGAGAGGGAAGGAAGAAAATCTCATCTCAAACATCTGAAATGACCAGGAAAATAATTAACTGGTGCCCTTTGAGCGCTGCAGCAATTACAGATAACCTGTACTTACACTTTTCCCTCGAACAGCAACACAAATGGCCATCGGTACCAAGCCCAGCAAGGTATGCAGGCCATCTTGGACTAACTCTGTTTATTTTTAGACAAACAGAACAATAAACATGTCGCCCATCTCTGCCCCAGGCCACTTTGTTGCCATGGACCTGATGTCTCTGTCAGCGTTATCGTGCTGGCTTCCGTCCCAAGCATTCCTGAGTGGTTTTACATTTAATCCCATGTCACAGCAGTCAGCGGTGCTGGACTCAAAGATGGCAGAGGACACAGCATCCAGACCCAGGGACGACCAGTCCTCGAACAGCACCAAGGCTGCACCTGCTGGCACCTCTTCCCGGGGCTGCTCAGTGGGTCCCAGGAGCTCTACCCACTGTGGGACACGTTGGCAAAGGAGCGTCCCAGCCGTGGGAGCTGCACTGGCCTGAGGGCTGTGGGGGCCTTGAGCTAACCCAGGGCACACATGCCTGGCACATAGAATGTGCATAGAATCACTTAAGGATCAAAGAACAAAAACATTAAGTTTGCCCAAAGCTCTTTCAAAGCGTTCTTCACTGTTGCTCTCTCCTAAGGGTCCAGCAGGACAGGTGGTATGGCTGGAGCCCGTGATGTCAGCATTCACTTTATCAGCTGCCTCCAAGCCTCCTGTTCGGGGGCCAGGATCCTCTCCAAGGCTGAAACTCGCTCCCTGACACTGAGACAAGCCGTTCTCAGGGCGGCATGGGCCACATGGCTCCCTGCTCCATGAACCCTCACCAGCTTGGCTCAAGAGGACCCAGCTCCTCCTAAATGAAGAGGCTCAGGACCCAGAACAAAGGGGAGGCCAGGGCTGCTTCCAAGTAGGATGCCTCCTCTGTTAAGGCCACAGAAGGCCTCGGTGGCCCTGTGTGGGCAGGGGATGTCATACCTGTAGGTGATCTTCACTTCTGTGCCAGGTTCATCACGCTCCCAGATCAAAGCGACACTCTCAGGTGCCTTCCGGACATGCTGGTCCAAGCAGTTGACTGCACAGAAACAGGAGCACAGATATTAATTGCTGGGTGTAAGAGCAAAGATAGGGAGTCCACTCCCTGAGCGGGACCCTGCCCTCACCCACAGTTAGGAGAACTCACCTCCCTAGAGAGGGAGATGTAAGAGCTGTGAGGAGAAGCCAGTCACCATACGGACATGGTCTCACAACCCCCACGAGTACCTGAGGCAGCCATGGTCCCGGCCCTGGCTGCACTTTGGCACCTTCCAGCTCCTCCTCATCCGTGGGCCCTACTGGCCTCCTGCTTCCTGGGCTCCAGGGGTCTGTGTGCAGCCAGCACAGGGCAGACAGTTTGGGCCATGACTGTGGCCCACGGGTGTGGGTGCCCACCAGGGCCAGGAGCCAAGTTCTCTCCCAGGTGATCAGCCAGCACCCTGTACCAGCCTCTCCTGCACCATGGGAAAACACCATCCCGATTTCCCAGAATTCTCCCCGTTCCCCTCCTGTACCCAAGCTCAGATCACAAGGCTTCTGTAGAAACCGGTCTGTGCTGCCGTCTGCCCTAATCCTCACTTACCCAACACCCTGTCCCGATCATGAGATTTCAAAGGTGAGCCTCCTCCAACCCTGGAAGCCAGCTGCTTTCCACTTCCCACCCGTCTCCAGGAATTCAGAGGAAATGAGCGCCGTGGGAAACTCAGGGCACCTGCCACCCCCATCCCTCAGGGTCACCTTAGTGTTTCTGTGTGTAAATTATACCTAAAGTAAAGAATACACATGGAATTGTGATTCCCAAAGGTTACAGGAAGAAGGAAGGAAAGGGGAAGTCACTAATCAATGGGTATATTTCAGTTATGTAAGAGGACTAAGTACAGAACAGCGTACAGCTTCCATCTCTCTACACACAAACTGCACTGTACACTTCAAAATCTGTTTTTAAAAAAGTGTAACAAGGTAGATGCAGGGGAAAATACTAATGCTACTGACACGGAATTCCTCTGAAGCACTAGAACAGAGAAGAAATGACGAGAGAGAGAGAGAGAGAGAGAGAGAGAGAGAGAAACTGACAAAGGACTCAGAGGTAGGGCTGGAGGTACACAATCGTTGGGTGTTAGTGCACATGCAAAGGTGTACATGTGTGAATGGGTATGTAGGCATGTGGATGTGTAAGTATGTGCGTGTACAGGTGTGGGTGTGAGTGTGTGCGTGTACGGGTGTTTGTGCATTCATGGCTGTGTACGTATGCATATGTGTAGATGTGTGTACAGCTGCGTGTGACACTTCCCTGGCCACAAAGGGCTCACACACACCTGACACTCCACGTGGGGGTCGCTGAAGGACAGTAGGTGCCTGGACATTCTTCTCACTGAAGCGTGACAGCTTGAGGTCAGGTGAGCCCTGCTCAGAGCCCGAAGGTCATGTGCCAGCCAGAGTGGCAGAGCAGAGTGAGGCAGGCCCCTGCCACAGGTGGAGAGCACCGGGTGTGTGGGGAGCAGGGCACAGCAGCCATGTCCAGGATCTAGACAGGTCAGCATGGAGCCCTTTCCCAATATGGGGCTCTGCCAGAGACCCCGCAGAGTCTGGGGAGTCCTCACTCCAGGCATTTTGCATAGTCCCCTTCCAGCCTACACACAGTCCCAGCTCACACTTCCTGTGTACTGGGCCCTACGCCTCCCTCTAAGGGCCTGAGATATCTGTTGTTGGCCACATGGCTTCAGGCCACCTGTCCAGGTCATGTCGGTGCAGTTGCTCAACCCAGAGCTTGGAGCTGTGGGTCACAAAGGCAGGGATGGTTGGGTCATGTCCTCCAGCTGCAGGGTGACATAGGGGTCTAACGGGCCCCAGGTGGCCCCACTGTGCGTAGGGAGGGAACACACATATTCTGGCTTTGGCCTTCAAATGGAAAGCCTCATTTTTGGCCAAAATTGGTGCTTCTCAACCTTGCAGGTGTCAGAATCTCAGAACCTCCAGAAGGGCTGTGAGCCCTGTCCCAGCCTCAAGCTGTGGCTGTGGTTTCAGGGCCCATGGGGACTCAGTTCCTGGGTCCATACCTGCACATTCCGCTTTGTGCACGGACTCCAGACCCCAGGGCTTTCTTTTCCTTTGGGGACCAGAGCAATCAAACACACTTGCCAAATGCTGTGTGACATCAGGTCCCCACTTTCTGGCTAGCAGCCTGCAACCAAGGCTAAACATCAGGTCTCCAGCCCGGCCCTATGCCAAGCACTCACTGGCAGCAGACAAAGCCCTCCTTTTTAGTCCAAACCTCAGCTTCCATCAGTCCAAGAATAACCATCCCTGACTTTGGCCATGCCTGCAAGAACTAGGTGTTTTCCATTGTAAGTTCAGAGGGTGGCTCACAAGGGAAACACAAACAAAACAACCCATCTCTGCTCACAGCCACCATAGTGTGAGGCATGCAGGGACTGTGGCCAGAGGGGCTCTTAGCATATACTCACAGTGCCTGCTACTGTCTGAATCCAGGACAGAAGAAAGGAAGGAAAGAAGGAGGGAAGAGGGAAAAAAGGAAATCCTTACATCTCTAAATTCAAAAAATGAAAAATAAAAACCTCACACAAAGAGTTGAGAAGTAGGACAAGAAAGTTTTGTTTCCACACGTTTCCAAGAAGGGCTGGCCAGGCCCCACCTCCCACTGCAAGCCTTCCAAGCCTCTCAACACATAATTCCCTCCCACCCCACTTCACCGTGACACTTCCTTCCTTCTTCTGGGTCACAAGGCTCTGGGGACCCTGGAGGAAAGGGGATGGGGATTGCATCACAATGTCCCCCAGCAGCTGTAACAACCTTAAGCAAGACACTCAGCTTGATCTGCTCTGTACTGTTAAATGAGCATTACAGGAGGCCACTCTCTTGCACAGACCCTCTCTGCCCCCACCTGCTCTGTTCTGCCCACTGGGACACTATGATGAAGCTTTGCCTAATTCTAGAATGGAGGAAGAGAACCCAGTTGAGATCCTTACATACATGGTTGTAATTCTGTCCTTTGATAATGAATTTAGGAGCCACTCCTCGTTAGAATGAGACTCCATGGCCTCGGTTATTCACTACCATCCTGGAGTTGGGTCCTTTATGTCCACATCTGCACAATGGGGCCACCAACCCCTCCCTGTTGGCATCTCGAGAGACAGCTGAGGCCCCTGGGAGCAAAGTGCCAGCCCTTGGCCACCATGCTTGGTCCTGTCGCTGGAGCTCGGGTCCTGCCTGGGCCCTCAACCCAGCCTGCAACAGTTACACTAATGCCTGTTGGTGGGCCATGGGTTTTTAGTTTCATTAACAAGAAAAGAATTACAAGAGTTATTATTTCCATTACAAAGATGGAACATGCTAACATAGGAATTTTCAAGAACTTCTTTTTAATTTTTTTTGGCAGTGCTAATGGAAACCAGGGCCTCCAGCTGGCTAGGCAAGAGCTCTGCCACTGGCCACACCCCCAGCCCTAGCTCACTGGTTGGATGTTTAAATATATCCCTCACACATAGTCCGCCTGTAAGTGAACCCAGCACACAAAAATACAATCTTAATAAAAGGAAAAGTGAGAGTTAATAGTCGCAAAAGGATTCACAATGGTTTTTCTTTAAATAGCAAACCTCATGGCACATTTTAAAATATGACATCAGTCACAAAATATCATATTTGCCAACTTTCCAGAAGAGAATGCTATTTAAAGTAAGTCAGGATTCTGATGAGGGAGAAGAATCCAGAGATCCTTCCAGAGGACCCGCCCCCCAAGATTGGAGTCAATTTTCATTTAGAGTTCCTGAAAAACCCTAGAAAAGCTGATTCAATCACTGAGAGGAAAATGAAGTAGAGGGTGTGGATGTGGCATCTTGCTGTCATCAATCCGCTTTCTGAATGACTGGAGGCATGTCACAGAGGAGACAGTGACAGTAAAGTGACCTCCATTCCAGCAGAAACACCCCAAAAAGCATGGAAAAGGGCTGGGGTTGCAGCTCAGTGTTATAGCATTTGCCTAGCCTGTGAGAGACCCTAGGTTCCCCAGCAGAGAGAGAGAGAGAGAGAGAGAGAGAGAGGCAGAGAGAGAGAGAGGCAGGAGGAGTAAGGCTCAATAAGAGCTCGATATTCAATGCTTTATTAAATAGTTTGTTCGCCCTCTTACTTGAGTAAGAATATGTAAATATATATATGTATTTTATAATATATATTTTTAAATAATATATATATTTATATATATTTTATATATATATTTTAAAATAAGTCAGACTCAAAATTGGAGTTTAGAAAAGGGAGTTTAGCTGTGCTTTGAAAGCAGTACACAGTTTCCCTCCACTTTCACATTTACAACTTCCTGACCTCTGGAGTCTTTAGTATCTGTCAAGCTTCACAAAGAACAGAGCCAAGTTTCAAGGGCGGGAAAGAATCCTTCAGAATTTGGATTTCCAGAGAAGCTTCGGCAAAGCAAAGGGAGATGCAGCAGAGGCCCTGCCCTGGGGCCTGGGACACCGTCACCCACCCCTGGGCATCAGAGCTCAACTGCAGCTTTGAGGGATCTGTGTGACTTTCAAAGCCTGCTTCCCACCCACCCTAGGCTGGTCAGTTCCTATGAAACCCAGCACTTGGCAGGTCAAGGCCTCCTCAAGTGCTTCATTAATAATTAACACTGGCTGCTGATTGGGCTGCAGTGTGCCCAGGACTCTACAAGTTTTATCTAATCCCAAGAAGAGCCCCATGCTGGGGATGCTGATAACCCCACCCCACTGATAAGATAAGGAAACTGCAAGCAGGTAGCCCTCCCTCTCCAGGCCAGAAGGGGCTAACAAGGCATGCCCTGACCTCTTGGACCGTCCACCCAGGACAGTGCCTGGGCCTTGCTGACTTGCTGTGAAAAGCCTTGCATAGTTTTGGAGACAAGTCCTGAGACTCAGTCATCCGGGCTGTACTGCTCAATTTTCTGTTACTAGAATGAAATACCTGAGGTAGCTCAGCCCTGGAGGTTCTCAGGCCCGCACTGGGCAATGATCCTGTGGACAAAGTCTCCGGTAGTACAAGATATCACATGGCAGGAGGCAGGGAGCTCATGCTTGTGTATGTGTGTGTGTGTGTTTGTGTGTGTGTGTGTGTGTGTACACGCATGCATGCATTCACACACACCCATGTGTGTCTTCTGCTCCCCCCGCCTCTTTTTTTTTTGGTACCAGAGATCGAACTCAGGACCTTGTGCTTGCGAGGCAGGCAGTGGCACCACTGAGCTAAATCCCTGGCCCTCTCCCATCTTTTTACAAAGCCACAGGATTCCCACCATGAGAGCTGCACCCCATGACCTTACCAAGCTCTAATCACCTCCGGAGTCCTGACCCACAGTACCTAGTGAGCAGTGGGCTTGGGGTGCGTTCATATGTAACAATAGTGACGAGTCCAGAACTCAGTATGCATGATCCTTAGTTTACAGACAGGAAACTTGCAAGCCAACCAAACAAAAGGCAGGATTCAAACCAAAAGACCTCTGAACTGCACTGTGCTTCGCTGCCACCCCGTGCCATGTTTGCTTGGTCTGTGCCATCTCTGGCACGTGATTTCTCATGCTGCTGGGCTTAGATAGTCTTCACCTGCCCTGGTTTGGGGCACAGGCTGGCATTCACAGACCTGAGGCCTGGCAACCACTTGCTAAGTAGAGGCGGCAGGTTTGCACCAGGTAATCTGCAGCTGCTGTGGCCTCAGGCCACATTTGGAGAACTGGTCCAGATGTCCCTGAAGGGAGGATGCAAGATGCAAGAGGCCAATGTCCTGCTGGTTTGCCATGCTCAGCAGACAGACCCAGCCAAAGCTTCTCCACCCTCCACAACTTTCTAGGCAGCTCCCTGCTCCTGTGGCCTGGCCTTTGCCAGATGAGAGGACAGACACTCCACCTGAGCCAGGAGAGCTACCAAAAACTGCTCTGCTACCAGTCAGTTTTCTGAAACTGTGTCTGGCTCGGCTCTATCAAGGGAAAGAGGCGGAATTCCCTGCTTCACAAACCAATTCTTGACGTCACTGGTCTTATCAGTTCAACCCTGAAGGAGCCAACTGTGGCCTCCGCCTGCCACGGAGTCCAGAGGCGGCTCCTAGAGGACCTGCTCTGTGCCCTGGCTGTGCCCTGGCCATGCCCTGGCCAGCCCCACTGCACCACCCCTCAAGGGCACATTCCACCCACTCTGTACACTCAAGGCTTTCTCCTTCCCCACTGGTTCAAGGACAGTGGCTGCTGACTCCATTGTAAAGAAAACACTAATCAAGTGACTCGTTTTGATTAAACCTGCAACATAGGATACAAACACTTGTCCAAAGATCCTTTGAAAAGCAGACACTGCCTATCACTTCATGGCAATTTCTTAATATAATTAAAATTTCTACAGCTTGTTGATCCCTAGTGAGCCCTGAGCCAGATCTACACCTCCTACAATGTCCTGCAGCCGGCCTAAGAGAAGAGCACTGTTGTCTATTTCACAAGAGCCAGACTAAGGCTCAGAGGAGCAGAGAAATGGAGACACCACATCCCACCTCATTGCTGCCTTGAGCAGGGCAGGACCTTGCTAGGAAGGCCCCTGCCCCAGCCCAGGCTCCCATCCAGATGCCCAGGGATACCCTGCCTGTCCAGCCTGGGCTGCCTCTTCAGATGCAGGAGAGGGCAAGCACGCCCCCAGCCCAGATCTCAGCCCAACAGCAGGACTCAGGCTCAGGAGAATCCAGAAGACTAGGGCTTAGTGAAGCTGGTTTCTGTGACCCCCACGCCACCACCAGGTGTGCAGCAAATGTGGCAGAGGCTGGTCCTCTGGGACTGAGAACTTCCGCAAAGAGATAACCCACTCTGACCGCTTGTGAGGCACTCTCCTCCCTTGGACCCCACAACCACCCGGCTCTCGTTTCAGAGCCGTTCCACCCTTCTAGAGACCCTCCCGCTCTGCGCCATTCTCCCTGGCCCCCCCTTGCTCTCCTCCCCCGGCCCCCAAGCCATCTTCCCCTGGGACCCCTGCGCGATTCTCCCAGGGCCACCGCCAACTGTTTGTTTACACGGCTGTGCTGGTCCCCAGGCGAGTCTCAGGTGGAGACAACTGCCAGGCGCTTTCCGTTTGTTCTGGGGCCGCTCCCCAGCCGTGCTCCGCACCCGCCTGGCAGGTATCGCCCAGGTTCCCTCAGCTCACGCCCCGAGTCTGACTTGGGGACAGTGCCCCAGTCCCATTTGGGGACAGTTTCCGTGAGCCTTGCGCGGGCCAAGGCGCGAAAGGAGGGATTCGGGGCGCGCAGCTGGGACCCGCGGGACCGGGGTGACAGGATGCAGAACCCGGGCCGCGGGACCCGACACCCACTCACCCGACACGTTGAGCCGGCCCCCCAGGAACCAGCCGATCCTGCCGCTGCCGAAGTCGCAGTCGCAGACTGTGTGGTAGGGTGTGTCCCACACCAGCGAGTCGCGCGCGAGGGACCCCCAGAAAGTGGCGGGCTCCAGAGCCGCCTGCTCGCGTTGCGCAGGGTACGAGGATGCCCGGGCCTGGGGGGACACCGCGGGGGCCCCGCCCCTCGCTCGCGCCAGGACGCCCCGCAGCCGCCCCACGCCTCGGCCCAGGCTGCGCGCCGCCATCGCCTACGCTGGTGCCGGTGCCGGAGTCTCGCACCCGATTTTCTGGGCCTGCCCGGCCCCGCCCCTCCCCGGTCCCCAAGAGCCACCTCCGCCCGGCCAGGAGGAGAAGGAGGAGCTGCGAGGGGAGGAGGATCGGGAGGAGGAAGAGGAGAGGAGGCGGTGGTCCCGCGCCTGTCCGGCCCGCGCCGGGTAGTTTGCGCGCCCGCAGAGCCCCGAGTTTCTCTGTCCTAAGCCCTGAGGCAGGGGCGAGGGGCGCTCGCTGCGGCCGCGGGGCTGCGGACCTGGGGGTGAGGGCGGAGCCACAGCGGTTGGGGCCGAAGGCATAACTGGGGCCCGGCCCGCGCCGGGTAGTTCTGCGCCCCTTAACGCCCCCCCTCCAGCGTCCTCCCCTTCCAGCGCTTTCCGCGCTCCTTAGGCCCAGGGTTTGGACAGCCCATCTTGGACCCCAGCCATTGCCCCACGTCCTGTCCCCCACCCGCTGTCCTGGGGCCCGCGGCCGTCACTTCCTGCCCAGGAAAAAGTGAGAGAAAACAACAGCAAGAATCTAGCCAACGTGGACGGGTTTGGGGCGGCGAGGTTTTTTCCTATTTGGTTGTCTGTGGCCGGGGTTCAAACCCTGACATTTCTAGCCCTGGGACTTTGCTTGGCCCAGTGCTTTGACTTCTCGGGCTCATTTTCCTTCTCTGCAGGACTGGAGCAACCCTCCTGGGAGGGGCAGGATAAATCCAGACTCAGATTTTCCCGCAGTGGGCCCCCAGGACAGAGCTCAGCCCTGAGGTGGAGGAGGTGTTGTTCAGGGGCCAGGAAGGGACTTGTCTTTGCCAGTTCTGAAATATTTCAACACCCAAGAAGTAAACACGCAATGCACAAGATACACAACAGAGAGAGGGATTTTGGAAAACAGGTTTGTTGAGTTATTTGGGCTATGAAAGATCCCTTCCTGTAGGCTGTGACCATGATGCTGCCCAGGGCAGAGCCTGGCCTCAGAGGAGCCCTAGGGTGTGTGGGACCTGCCACCTTCCAGGAACAGTCGGGCAGGGACATCGGCACGTGCCCCACACCATGCCAGACACTCAACATGCATGTCCATGTAGATGAAAAGTTATCCCAAGCCTGATGTGGTGGTGCACACCTCTAATTCCAGCATTCTGGCAGGGGGAAGTAGGAGGATTGCAAGTTCATGCCCAGCCTGGTCCTTTTAGCTACTTAAAGAGGCCCTGTGTCAAAATTAAAATTTATCAAAAGAGCTGTAGATGAGCTCATAGTTTATAGGCCCTGTGTTCAATCCGCAAAGAGTGGGGTTATGTGTTATCCCAGACAGGTGGGGCAGAGTACACCTGCAGTCCAGCTACTCAGGAGGAGGATTCGCTTGAAGCCAAAATAAGCCTGGAAAACATAGCAAGATCCTGTAAAAAAACAAAACAAAACCAGACCAAATCAAGCCTTGGGGAGAGCCAGACAACATACACACACACACACACACACACACACACACACACACATAAGCAAAAAAAAAAAAAAAAGAAGAAGTTACCTAGTATTATCAACCCACTCTGATTGTCAACTCCCCAGTGGAACAAACAAGGAAACTGAGCCCAGACAAAGAGCACATGGTTGGCCAACAGAAGAGGAAGGCTGGCACCAGCACTTGGCCCAAGCTCCAATTTTTAATCAATATATAAAATGGGTGAACAGAGAAAGATTATGATGTGGCAGTTAGTCGCAGAGATGGCACCGACACTGCCTCCTGCCGTGTACATAATAGCTGGCTGTTTTGTCCCAGAACCCAGACTGGGAGCAGCCCCATGGTGCAGCACATGCTCAGCCCATGTGAGGGCCTGGCATCTATCCCCAGCACCACACACACATGCACCAAGAGCCTGGCTTCCCCTCTGACCCTGGCTGGCCTCCTTGTTTGACCAACAGGGCCCGACAGAAGTGGTGCTGAGACCACTTTAGGTCCCACAGCTCCAGGACTTGTGAGGTACAGACTCTCGGGGAGAGGAACAACTGCTAGACTTGGAGGAGTCTACCCTGGGTCTTCTGGCCCCAGCCACAAGAGCCTCATCCATGGTACAAAAGAGCTTCCCAGTCAGCTCACAAAACTGAGAAGTAATTGAATGTCAACAGAAGCCACTAGATGTTGGTATGCTTGTTACTCAGCCATCAATAGCTGATACAACTTCAACCAGAAGTGTATGGCTTTCTCTTACTCACTGGCCTCTGCTGTCATCCCCTTTACTGGTTGCTTTTCATGTCTTTGCGCTTGAAGTGTTGGAGACCCTGCAGCTCCAACTCTCCAGTCAGTATCTGTAGCCAGGACCTTTCCTGCCACTTACAGTCCCTATTCAAATGTGCAGTCACCATCTAGAGCATATCTATATCAAGTCCCCTCCAGGTCAGGGGACATAAGATACACTTCCTGTGGTCAGGCAGGTATCTTTCTCACCTGAGGCTCCTCCCTTGTGCACATGGTCTGTCACCCATCAGCAGATCCCAGAGGCCTGACTTCAGACTATCAACAGCACCTGACACTCTCCCATCCTGCCCCTTCCCATCTCAACCACACCCAGCTGCTTTTTGATTATTCAGTAGCCTCCCAAGGGCTTCCACCCTGCCCTGCATCCTTACCAGAACCCACCGAGGCTCCTATAACACAAAGGTCAGGCTGGGCTGCAGATCTGTGATGAGCACCTGCCTAGCATATGCCAGCCCCTGGGTTCCACCCTCAGTGCTGCAAAATAACAAAGGCTTGATGAAGCTGTCCTGCATCTCAGAGCAGTCCAAAGGCTCCTGAGTTCCAAGATAGGTCGGGCCTCACCCTCACCCTGGCACAAGGATGCATCCCAGGGCCTTGGGCCCACCTGACACCTTGCAGAGCCCCAGAACATGGGGCCCATCTCCAGCCTGTTGCAACAGAGCCTGCATTTGATCCATCTCCAGGAGACCTGTGTGCACATTCACACCTCAGAAGTGCCCCTGGCCAAGCACAGGCACTTGCACACTTGTCATCCCAGCTACCCGGGGAGGGTGAGACAGGAGACTCACTTGAGCCCAGGAGTTCCAGGCCAACCAAAGCAACATAGCAAAGCCCCATCTTGAAGAAGCCCCCAAAAAAGAAGAAGCAGCGTGGCCCTCCCTTATCCAGCCTCGCCCCTCCAGGATCCCATCTCCCATCATCTCCCCCACCTCAACTCAGGTTCCAGCCACTCAGGCCTCATCCTGCCCCTCCAACTCCAGGCACTCAGCCCCAGGACCTTAGCACGTGTTGTCCTTCTCCCCAGAGTCTCCACCCCAGAGATTCACAACCTCCTAACCTCTTTCAGGTCTCTCCAAACATCCCTTAAACCAAGAGGGCCTCTCTGCCACCTCCCTGAAGCCAGGCCTCAGCTCTCAACCCTAGTCCCAGCCCTGATTTTATTTTCCATGCATGTATTTGCTCTGTTTTCCTGTTCCTCCTAGCAAGAAGGAGCTCTTTGAGAGAATTTGCTGCGCTGGCCTTGGCATAACTGTGTCCACAGCAGATAGGAGCATCCCAGCATATAGTGAGTGCCCCATAGGAGTTTGCCAATTAATGAGAAAGATGTAAACAGAAGGCACCATCATAGTAGCCTGGGCACACAGGTGATGCCATCTCTTTCCATCACCTTTGTTTTCTAAGTCTCCATATGTTTGAAATCACGAAAGTACACCACATGATTTCTTTTTCATCTTTTGGGGCTGGGGCTGGAATGTTGAGCACATGCTCCTCCCCTGAGTTGCGGGCCACCCCGCCCCCCTCCTCTAACATCTGGAAACTTGTCCTCTTCAGGCTGGATAAAGAGAAACAGCTGTGTGCCCACAGAACATTTCAGAGCCAACCAAGTAGCACAGGAGTTTCAGTTTCTGCTGCCTGATGCACTCTAGAGCCCGCACAGGAACCCTGTGACTGTCACCGCCCGCTGAGGCCAAGGTCATCCCTGCTGCCACCCTCTGGCAGCCAGTAATTAGTACTCCCAGAAAGGTGCCCCACGGCCTGGTCCCTGGAGTCCTCACCCAGCAGTGTGGGTCACCTTTTCTTCCCAGAGGACCTATGTGGGTTGGTTTCTGTGGGGATTCAGGCTCCTCTTCCATCTCAGGACTGATGCTCCTGTTGGAGGTGATTCTGGACCCGCTGAACCCAGAAATGGAGGCTGCTGGCCTCACTTTGCTTGCCAAACAAGCTTGGAGCCACCAGGCTAGGCAGTCCAAGAGCGGAGAGGCTACTGCCTATTGGGGGAGCAGATTCAGGGTGCAGTCCACTGACTCCCCTTTGCATTCACCTTCATCACTCCTGCCCTGCATGACTCAAAGAGGTGGGCACCCAGATGCTCCCGAGGGTGGAAGGACCTTACTGGATCATTTCCAATTCTAGAATGGGGCAGCAGTGTTCCAGTGGGTAGAGTGGGGTGGGTGGGGGCAGAGAGGAAAGGGCAGAGGAGAGCAGGGGCACAGCACAAAGCAGATCAGTCATCTCAGAGTTGCTGGCCTTGGTAGTGCAGCCAGGGGCAGGACAGCAGAGAGACAGCTGGTGGCTTCCATCAGTGCCTGCCATTCCCTTCAAGCCAGCATCCTGTGGGTTGACACTCGCCTGTGGGTAGTGGGCTGCATTGTCTCTGACCCTGAGGTCTCTGAAGGTCAAATGAATAGCCCTCCTTTAGCTTGGCAACATGCACATATTAGGGTGAGCGATCCCATCTTCATTTTTAGCCTGGTTAGTATAAGAGCTCAGTCTCAAACAGTGGCCACCTGTAACATTTATCTAACATAAGAAATAGTGAGTGTGGTGCTGCATGTCTGAAATCCCAGCACTTGGGAGGCTGAAGCAGGAGGATCACAGGTCCAGGTCAGCCTGGGCTACATAGTGAGTTCAAGGCCAGCCTGAACTATTAGTGAGACTCTGTCTCAAAAAACAAAACAAAGCAACAACAAAAAGCAATATTGGTTGATAAAAGACCCTCCCATCAGCAAGCCCTGCAAAGCCAACAAATCCAGCACTGTGAAGTCAGTGGCCTCCAAAGAACCTGCAAGTCCCTTGCGCTCTCTTCATCTGCCTATACCCTTCTCCCCAGTGACAGTCACAGGATGTCTGTAGCCCCCGTATACACTTCCCAAGCTGAGGGACATAGGGACAGGGCCTTTACAAAACTCTCAGTGAGATTATGGGTGATGGGGGTGGGCAGGAACCAGTTCAAATAACGAGGATGGGAAACAAAAACAAAGTGGAAAGTGGAGACAAGAGCACTGAAGAGGACCCAGGGAGGGGCCTAAAAGTTGTAGGCTGCTCGTGGCTTCATGAGGAGCAAGGCTCCCTTCCCTTCTGCTTCCCATGAGCTGGGTGGTAACTGCAAAGGACGGGGTGTCTGCATGACATCACTTCACAGCAGGGTCC